CTCTAGCCAGGGCTGCGTAGAGACCCCACCAAAAAAAGAAAGTCCGTTCCTGTCTAGCGGCCAGCCCCTCTCCAGTCTCCAAACGGCAGCCAGTGCCCTTCACTCCTGTCACCACTTCCCCGTCCTCACCTTGTCCTTAACCTTTCCATGGTTTTTCTTGCCTCTAGGTTGAACTCAATTAAAAACTGTTAAAGACAAAGCTTTTTAATGCGACAAGTAAGTACAGTGACTAATGTGTCTGGTTTATTCTGTTAGAACCGCTTCCCCTCAGCCCCAGGAACAGAGAGGCAGAGTCACCGAGGCTGCAAATGGCAAAGGAGTTCATTGGCTAGCTCGAGCTAGGGTCCAAGTCCCAGAGCACCAACACAGTGGCCTCCCTATGAACCAGGACCCTGCCCTGGGGTAAAAGTGAAGCTTTTATACTTTCTTTTGCACACGACACACCAGTGGCACACGACACGCAGGTTCCACATGACATGCTGGGCGCACCATCCCCCCTCTCCCCTTAGTCCATTGGTTCTTTTGAAAGTGGCTGATTGTTTTGACTCCTGATTGGTTGGCTCCAAGCCCTGGGATTTTCAATTTTCGCGCCGGCGCCAGTTGTGGTCCGCGTTTCGGTTTCGGGGAAACTGAAACTTAGGCCTATTCCAGGAAATTCAGCTTGTCATGGAGTCACTCCTGCTCTTACTCCTATATTTAACAAACAACTAAAAGCAAGCACGGTTACAGAAGCAAATGGCATCAGTTAGAATCAATGAGAACACATTTTTCTAATCTCAGACAATTTGTTTCACACAAAACAAAGTACATTCTCCTACTATCAATTCCTGTCTTTCAATTCCATTTGTTGCTTATTAATAGCACTTCTTGTATGAAGAAATTATATTTTCCCACTGCAGGGAAAAAATTATACTTCAGTGGGAAACAATTCATTGTTTAGAGCAAACCTTTAAGGTTATCTGATTCTCATTCCTTGGGCCTTTTCATTGTATCTTAGATTGTTCCATTGCATTTGAGTTCTTTTACAGATAACTGATAGAAATGCAAAATAATTCTTGGATGTAGATATGCAAATGGAATATGAGGGTCAGGGTTCACTCAGTTAACGTCTCTCTGGCACTGTAGAGGCCAGTGTCATTTGCATATTCATTTCAATATTTCTGACTTATAAATGTGCCTGTTCTTTGAACCAATTTAAACATCTGTCTGGTAACTTCATTAAATAAGTTAAATAAACTATGATTTAGTTCATACCTTTATGACAGGCTTTTACGTCCTATTCCCTCCCCTTCTGCTGCTCCAGCCCCTCTGGCTCACTTTGGATCCTTTCTAAGCACCGTGTTCTTTCCCTCCTCAGAGATGTTCTTTTGACCTGGAACTTACTTTCATCTCAGGTGCTCTTCATCCCTTCTTCCTTTAGTAAATTTCTTTTATTTTAATCCTCCAGATCTCTGCTCAAGGATCACTTGCTGGAAAGCCTTTTCAGGCTTTTCTAAGTGGGTTACCGTCTATTATTAGAGGCTCTTGAGCACAGGCAGCACTTGTTACAATTTTACATTTTGTTGGTGGGATTAGTTAACCCTCTGTAAAACAGTCAGCACCATTCTATCTGTCTGGGGGCAATTCCTGATAACAGGATGGCGATATGCCCAAAACATCCCCAGCTTCTAGCCCAGGGCTTGGCACATGGTAGTGTTGGGAGGGGAAAACTTCCCCTTTGCCCTGTGAACGTTCACTGAAAAATCAACTCCTAATAAAGGCGATTAATAAGAGAAAAGCTACATAAATTTTATTGTTACTGTGTGCACAGGGAGAATGACAGAGTGATTGCCCAATATCGCAGTGAGACCCAAATACTTTATATCTTCATGGGGGGTAGCGGTGAGGCAGATGGGGAATATAGGTAATTCTCTTGAGAGGCTATAAATGGTTTCTAGTGGGATGGTAATAGATACTTGAAGAATGAATGGATAGGGGAGGGAACACATTGACTTTTAAATGATTTTCCTTGAAAATTAAATTAACCTGAGAGACAGGCATTTTTTTGAAAATGGGTTGGGTCAGGTCTGGTCGCATTCTTGATCTTCTTTCCTGCAATAGATAGTGAGATAATAGGGAGGGAAAGGAAAGACTTGTTGGGTCCCTCTAGTCTTTGTGGAGATAGAGGGAAAGCCCTTTCCTTCTGATGCCTGTTGATCTCTAAGGGCCTTTCATTCAAAATGTTCTTTCTACCAAGTTATATTTTGGGGTGAAATTTCCTGCACCCCTACACAATTTATATGTTAGACAGATTTTTGACTGCAAGTACCTACTGTTCAGGAGAGAGGTGGTCTGAAAATATGTATGTGGGAGTCATCAGCATGGAAGTGCCGCCATGAACATGCACCAGAAGGAAAACCATTGGGTTGAACAAAAGAAGGCTATTAGGCACCTGGTGTAGGTGGAATGATTGGACAGAAGTCAAATGACAGTCACCTGAAAGGGGAGGAAGTAGGAGCAGTTAATACAGATGGCACTGTCAACAAGTTTTGCACTGAACATGAGGGAAGGGATAGGTGCCACCATGGTTAATTCTTTAATAACATCGTTGTATTACATATGCTTTTTTGACTGACTGAAGAGCAAGGATTTACAAGTAGCATTTAAGACGGCAAGAAAATTGGGATTGCGTGTGTGTCTTTAAAACAGCAGGCCTTGATGGTATGTGTGGTGTGAAGGATTCAACCAGCCTTTTGAATGCAAACAAGCAGTTTATAACTCTTCCTAAGGCTTTCTTATTCTTAAGCCTTGATCCCGGGTGGCAAACTGGAGCCCTAGGGTTTACCTAGCTTGTACTAAAAAAAAAAAAAAGAAATTTTAAATTTGACTTAACATTTCTTTAACAAGAGACTCCTGGTTTGCAGGAACACTGACCACTTTATGGTGGCACCTGACCTGCCTGGGCTCTGTGGTCTTTGGAGCTTGGGACCCCACCCCAGCATAAGAGGCTTTTGTATGCTTTGTATAATGGGAGGGAGGGAGGGTGGGAGAAGTGAAGGTTGTTTTCTGAGTTGTTAAGATTAGAGCTACAGTATATTGTCTGCATGGCTGTATGAAATCAATTCTAAAACCGGACCGGATTTAACCGCTTTCACTCCGAGTAACAGCCCTCCCCCACTTTCCAAGATCAAGTCAGCCCCAGTCACCACTTCCTATTAATTGAAAAACCAGGAAGGCTCATAATTTAGGCTGACGTTGCCCAAGGAGAACACAGCAGAGGGGACAATAGCTATTCCAATCTTTTCCATTTTTAAACCCAGCAGTACTTCCAACGCCACTTTCCCAGTCCTCCTTCTAAACACTGCTATTAGGAGCCTACATCAGAAAACTGTCAAAACAGTATGATTGGGAGCTCTCGATGGTCTGTTTTGCCTGTAAACGATGAATGGCATCGACATCTTTGGGCAGAAACAGCTCTTAGGGGATGTGGAGCCTGGTAGCCCCACAACCGGAGTTCCAAATTAGGTGGCGCAAGGAAATCCAGAAACCGGATTCACGTTCTTCCCCTTCAGTTTGCACATGGGTGTCGGAGGCAGACTAGAGCCGACGCACAAAGGCCAATCCCCGCCATCAAACTCTCCGGGAAGAAACTGCCTTTTGTCATTTTGATCTGGAGTCAGTGGCTAAGCTGCCCTCACGCAATTTCCCCCAAGTTCCTTTCGCCTGGCTCGAGGGGCTTTTCCGGCCCTCGCCCAGAGGTTACGTGTTGAGTTAATGAGGATGCTAGCTAAGCGGCGGCACTTGGGAAGGCGCTCGCACGCAGGGCGCAGTCTCGGGCCACCGCACGAGACCAGGTGGCAGGGACCACGGCTCTGGTTTTCGCGACTGCAGACAGACCAGGACCCGACTGTCGGAGGCTCCTCCCCCAGGGATGCTGGAGGGGCTGCGTGGTTCCCTGCGTCTGGCCCTGGCGCGCGGCCCCGGGTCGTGGCACCCAGTGCCGCGCCGCCCGCCTTCGCGTCCCGCCGCGCGCCGCGTGCCGCCGCCGCCCTCCGCAGCCCCGCGCGCCCGCAGCCCGCCCATGGCCAGCTCGCCGCGCGCCGCCGCGGCCCTCGCCCTCCAGGTACGCCGCGCCCGGCGTCTGCGGACAGGGGCAGGACTGGACCCCGGCGCGCCGGGCCGGGCGCATCGCTGCCCTTTCCTGCACCATCCTCCTTCGCCGCCGCCGCGCGCCCCGTCCCGCCTCTACCGAGGCGTCTGCGCTTCCCGCATCCCTGCCGGAAATCTGAAGTCCCGGCCTGCGAACGCCGCCTCGGCGAGGTCCCCGCCGGCCAGGTCTGGCACCCCGATGGGTGACGCGCTCCGGAGCACGGCGAGGACCGCCACGGGGACGTGAGGGCAGCCACGCAAGCCGCTGTGGGGGAGGGGGGCGGAATCTCTGTGCTGCCGGAACCCGCAGTCACATCCTGCGTGCCTTCGCCTCCCCGAAATACTTTGACCGCGGTCTTCTGTCTCTGGATCCCTTTCTTCTTCCCCCCCGTAGTTATTTAGCAAATTCGGCTTGTTTGTTTTTTGGTTTTGTCTGCACTTTTCCCCAATTGGTCCGGCTTCCCTGTGTCTTAATCTTTTACACTGCTTCCTAATAAGAGCAGGAGGTTTTGTGCTTAAGGTGTGGCATCGGAGGACCCTGCCCGGGGAGAAAATGGTTCACGCCGGTCCCCATCCCTTGTGCAGCTTGCTATTGTGCGCCAGTGATTGACAAGACCACGAGGCTGAGCGCGCCCAGGAGATTTTTCTATAAATGGCTTAAAACCCTAGTCTAGACTATTTTCTGGGCTATAACGGAGACAATTGCCTTCTTGTTCCTTGCTGGTGAACCCTGGCTCTGTAGGGCTGACCTGGAATTTAACCAGTCTTCCCTGAGCCAGCGGAGGACGAAACAGCCGCGACCTCGGCAGGGTGGGACGTGAAGGGCCGCGCTCGCCTGAGGCTCGTGCCGCGCGGGGCGTTTGCTTGTCTGATCCTCCGTTTTCTGTTTGCGCGGGTACCGGAGCGTCATGGTGAGTGTCACGGTGCGTGATGGTGGTTACCCCAGGCCCCAGTTACCCACCTGCATTTACTTAACGATGGTTTCATTCTTCTTTAAGGACTGCAGTAACGGATGCTCCGCAGGATGTGCGGAAGGAGGAGGATGCAAGGAGGTGGTGGAGACTTTCAAGGTAAGTCGTTTGCCAGAGGTGTTGTCTGAAGCAACATTCAACGGAGTCAATCCATTTCTTGTTGAGATTTGGGGACATTTTCACTGTGTAGGTTATACAGTAGAGGGGATATGCTGTCATGCATTTTAAATTCCACTTTCGGGGGGGGAAGCCATTTGGGGGGCGATAGTATATTCATCACATCAAACATTTCATAGTTAATTGCTTATTTTATTTCGCGAATCTTAATTTTTTTCTTGGAAAACAGTCAATTCGTGAATATTAACCTAGGCGTTTATCTGATTACATAATAAGAATAACCTTTCACTCGCGGAAAAAGTTAAACTGATTATAATTTTTCTCTTTAAGCAGCTCATAATGCTTTATAGTAAAAGTGTTTCATGTCTTTAATTTTTCTGTTTGAATTATGGGGTTTATATATTAAATAATATAATACTTCACAGGGGAATAGTGAGGAGTAAATGAGATAGGAATCTTGCAAAAGTACTTTGAAAATCATAAAAATACAAGTGTAAGATGTACTATTATTTTCTCTATAAATCATTATCCACCACCTCCCAGCTATGGAGGTTTCTGCTTCTCTTTATACCTCGTCGTGCTTTTCTGCCTGTTTCGGTCACTGTCAATTGTCATCCATAGCACAGAGTGTTCTCATGATCTCACATCCTGGCAGAGTTCAGAGAGGGAGTCAAACTTGACTCATCAATTTCGTAGGCACTCAGCTCTTACAGTGTGCCAGGGACAGTGCTGGCATTGGGAATCCAAAGATAAATTCAAGATAAGGTCTCTGCTCACAAGGATTTTTTAAAATCAAATTATTAGTAGATTATAGCAATTTTTTTACTGAAGTGAATTTGTCAATTTTATTTGTATTTCTGGTCCTTTAAAGATAATATCCTCTATAGCCCTATAGCAGATATAGCTGCTAATCCACAAAGATTAAGCTTTAATACATTTGAAGACTTACATATTTAGATATGGGTTCTTAAAAGAATTCGGTAAAAACGGCTAGGCGTGAATTAGCACGCAATATAAAAACTGCCCAAGAGAGACCCAAATGGCAATACATAGTGTTATAAATGGGGTATATTAACAAACAAGATAGAAGGAAGGCTGAGGTGGGAGGATTGCTTGAGGCCATGAGTTTGAGGCCAGCTTGAGCAACATGGCAAGACT